TCTCCAACTGTTAACTCTATGTCAGTGATTCCCACTTCTTATCAACCATCCGGTATCTCCAGTTGCCTTCTAGGCAGCACAATTTGGAGGTTCCACAGGCATTTTAAACACCAAATATCCCCCATCTGTGCTCCCCTCTTATATTCACCACCTTACATATTGGCTTTCCTTTTTTATATCCTCTCCAAATCTAGAAACCTTGGGATTCTCCTTGATTTTGTGTCTCCATCCTCTTCTCCCGTGTATATAGTCGTTCTACAAATCCTGTTTATTTTCTGTCTTACCTATTTCTCAAGTGTTCCCAACCCTCCATCCAAATTCTCACCTTTGTTCAACCTTCCTTTGCTGTGAGTACTATACTGTAGCCCTCTTGATTCTAGAGCCTGCATCTGCACTTCCTCCTTCAAATTGTTGACAAAGGGTTCTTCCTAAATTGTCATTCTCTCTTTAATCCTCTCTACCAATCCTTTCATGCACAATGACTAGGTTGTATGATTTCATACATATTATTGTCTTTTCCATGTGTCTGTTTCATCCACCTGAAGTTTAAATGTGTTTTTTTGTACTGAAACATAATTGATTGTATATATCTGTGTGGTATAGCATTGAATATCAGCATTGAATGTAATAGGTATTGAATCAATACCTGTGTGCTACACGTGATGTTCAAACACCTGAAATTCAATGTTGACCTTCTCTCCAAAGCTGCTTTCTCAACACTGTTTTTCCATATAATTTTCACAAGCTTCTATACTAAGGCTATCCAATAAAAATATGTGAGCCACATGTGTAATTTTCTAGTAACCACATTATAAAAAATAAAAAGAAACAAGGAAAGTAATTTTGATAATATATTTTAACTTAATCCAATACCTCAAAATACTATCAGGTCAACATGTAATCAATATAAAAATTATGAACTATTTTATTTTTTATGTACCAAGTCTTCAAAATCTACTGTGTATGTTATGTTTACAGCATATCTCAACTTAAATACTGTATTTTCATAGGAAATGCTTGATCTGCATGTATACTCCATAAAAACTGTAGTTAAAAAGTAGATTTAAATCAGCTTTAAATTTAAATTAAACAAAATTTAAAATTCAGTTTTTCAGTCACACTAGTGAAATTCCAAGGGTACAATAACTACATGTAAAAAAAAAAATAGCTACATGTGGCTAATGATTACAACGTAACTCTACCCATTTAAATTTAACAAATATTTATTGTACTACATATTTGCCAGGAGCTCTGCTAGGTGCTTTTTATAAACTGAAGCATATGAACTGTTAATATTTAGATGATTTTTAATCTAGATAAACACCAATTTCATATGGATCAATCTAATACTTTATGTTGTATTTTTTGTGCTTCTTGAAGGCAGAAACTATTTTTTAAAAATAAATATTGGTCTATAGTAAAGAATTGTTCAAATGTTTAAAATTAATCCTATAAATTTTGAAAATTTATACTTCGTACTGAAATAGCAATTTTTCCTATATTCTATGTTTAAAAGAAGTTTTAATTAACATTGAGAAAATATTATGTACATTGAGAAAATATTATGCACACAATATAATAGTAGACAGTATAGAAATATTCAAAGAATGTAGAAGTCTGAATGACCTTGAAATTTATCGTTTAAATGAAAGCTGGAACAAACATGTGAAAATTAAAGTAATCCAGAGAAAGCTATAACCAGTTATTCATGAGGATTATGTAAAGTATGTAAGTAAGTGTGGAGGGAATTGTTACTAGTAATTCAGGAGTAGTGTTTTGAACATCATTCATGGATTCTTTTCTAAAAGGAATCTGGAAACAATTATTCACACCCTAGTGTTTCATATTAAAAAACCTGATATTTTCTTTCCTTTTTAAAGATCTACAAAGATTTTTATACACTCATTTTATTATGAGAAATATTAGTTTTTGAACACTGAACATTCTTTTTCCCACAGATGTTTTCCCAACATGACCTAGATTTATAACCTAATAGTTCCTTTTAAATGCAATGACTAGTAAATGCCATCTGTTCCTTTTTTATTTAAATATTTATGAGTAAAATTAAAACCGAACTTTTTCTAAATTCTCATCACAAATGTATAATAAATATTTTTATTTTCTATTTTTCTTTTACAATTATATATATATATATATGTGCCTAATAGTCTGTTGGAATTCTGTGTTCTGCTTTTATCATATACTGTTACTTTATTTTTTTGGTGCTATATAATCTCTATAATTAAAGTCAACAATGGCTAATATTCCACTGATTCTGGTATATTATAATTAATTTAGCATTCTTCCATTATTAGGCATTTAATTTATTTTTAACTACTTGTTATATTATTTGTACATGAAACTTTTCTTCCTTTCAATGATTTCTTTAGCCTAAAGTTTCATTAATTGGATTTTGGAGTAGAAGTGTTAATATTTTTAGGTCTTCCTCCCATATATATTGCCAAATTGGTCTTAAAATATTTTTGCTGATTTACAATGATTTTAGCAATATCTCAATTTCCCTCAAGTTTTATTTGTTTTTTGGATTTATATTTTAGGCACATTTTAATCATAGTACTTAAGCATAGGAAGACATTAACAGCATATTTAAGTCTCCAAAGAAAATAAAGATACATAGAAATATGTTGACATGTGAGTAATAGTTCTGTAATGTTAGGAAAAAAGACTAAGTCACACAAAGCAGTAAAAATGCCAGATGCAAGGTTCATAGTAATCTATTCATTCCTAGTAAACTAGATAGGAAAATAGTTTCCATTCTCTCATACATCTAACATTCCTTTACGGAAGATATAAAATGCCTTTAAATAACTTATTTAAATACAAAAAAAAATAACAAAAGACAAACAAAACGTAATATTTTATTTATTATGGGTAATGTAGTAGGTTTTATCCTGTCTATGCTTTATTCTTACTTTAAACTCACTTTTCTTTGATGCTAATAAAATTGAACATCTTCAATTGCCTTGTTTACTATTTGTACTTCTTCACATGTGAATTGCAGTTTGGCTAATTGTTGGGATAAATCTGCAAACTCTTCTTAAATATTATAGGGATTACTTCTCTTTGCAAATGTTTTTCTAATCTGTTATATATCTTTTCTCTATGGCTTTATTAAATTTCGTTATACATGTTAATTTTTTGTGTTGTTAAATATGACCATTTTTTTCCCTCATGTGTATTGTTTCAATCCTTTAAAAGTTGTCTTCCATCCATAGTGCTGGTAGTCTTTGGGGGTTTTATTCTGCTAGTTTGTCTAGTATTTTTATTCTTCGTTGTAGAATTCATGTGTAGTTTTGTTGGTATAAGCTGGTTTGAATTAATTTTTTCCATATTGCCACCCAGTTATCTCAGTCCTTTTTGACCTTGTTTCATAATGTTTATTATTAAGTGAGTTTTTCTATATATATTATTATATTTATTGTTTAACAAATTTTGATATCAGATAAGGCTGCCTGCCTTTCTGTTCTCTTTCAGAATATTCTTGTACAGTGTCATACATTAATTTTTTCAAATTAATTTCAGAAGAGTTTGTTTCTCTGCTTTATTTTCTAATTCGTGTTATGCCACATAGAATAGTTTATGGCCAGATCCTTTTATAAAATTTTATTCTTTTGTTCTTCATTCTCCTCTCCCTTTTTTAGAGAGCAGATGTTGCTGTATCTCTGTGACAAATAGCCCTTCTCCTCCAAAGTAATGGTTAATTAAAGTATGATGCCCTCCCACAGTCCATCTGCCCCACCACCTCAAACAAGGAACAGAGGTTTCTGTATTGAAGTATAACTATGATGTTTTCAGTATTTTTAGTGTTAAATTGGGGGGTCTTCCCAGAAAAATGGATCTTTTCATTATCTTGCAAATAATATTTAAATCTTTGTGCATTAACAAATGCATAAAATGAATAGAACTCAGGAGAGGAAGAAGAAAAGGGGAAGGAGCATAATATGGGCCAGGAAATACAGAATCTAGGATACCCTGATCAAAACTATAGGCACTTAGAACACAATTTCTTATAAGGACAGCAGAATGGAGAAAATTCAGAATTCCAAGAATGCATATCCCAAGGGTGTAGACAACATAGTTCCTAATAGATTGCTCTGAAGACTACTGATCAAATCTGTGAAGGATGTGGCTACTGAGATACTTTTTCATAGGGATACAAAACTCAAACAGGAAAATAGACACAATTAAGTCTTGCTCTATTATCCATTTATTCAATTATTCATCTAACCAGTATTAACTACACTAACTATTCAGCTACCCCTGTTTTTGCTTTATGTATTTGTGCCCTATTTCTTTTAATATTCTTGTATGTTCATAAAACATTTGTTTATGGACAAGTTTTCATTCTTTTTATAATGACCCTCTTCCAACCTTTTTGCTCTGAAAGGAATACAAAGAAATGGTCAATGTCAGTGTAATAATTCAACCAAAACTGTCTTTGTGATGTTCAAAAGAAAATTTTGACTTTCAGCATAAGTTATTGCATTTCTGTATCTCTAATTTTGCCACTGAATTTTAATAATTCGGGATTTTTCACTAGATGCCTGTCAGTTAGGTCTTGTGGAAGGAGAAATAAATGATTTGCTACAGGGGATATATCGATTTCAGACTCCCCAACCAGAAACAAAGGACAAAAAAGCACTTGTTGAAGAAGATGGGTACATTAAACAGAAGGAAATTGGTTTAGAGGATGTCTGCTCTATTTGTCAAGAGGTGCTTTTACAGAAAAAACTTCCTGTCACCTATTGCAGGTGATGTATTTTTTCACTGTATTCTAAAAACTTATGAAAAATTATAATTTAACATAGTTGTAATTGATTAGATTATGAGACATGTTGATAGAAAAAATAGAAAGCTTTACCTATAGCCTATTTATATTTAATTAGTGTTCTTTTGTTTCCTAACATATATGTTGTGAAGGGTCCTGTTCTTGCTCTAAAATCTCTGGTCTGTATCTTAAGAGTGAAAATTAAAACATAGCTTCATAATTATTTCTCCTTCTATTTTAAGTAATTAAAGTAATCTTCATGTCTTTGTTTTATACACATGAATAAATGCCATGGCTTAGTTACAAAGAGTTTTCTGAAAGTAAAGATTATTTTACTTTGAAATTTTGAAAATTCATTTCAGTTTTTCAAAATTCTATCTTTAAACCTAAATCAAAATTTCACTTATGCACAAATGTTTATCAAACGTCTCATATTCATACTATTCTTTACCATACTGTGAAGTTGAACCTGCAAAATTTGGGCAACCACTCGCTATTGAAATTTTTTATTCTTCTTTTCTCTTGATTATTTCCCACAATTTTCATCCACATTGTAGTTGTTCATGTGGCTGCTTCTACTTTATATTATAAAATTATTAACTACTTCCCAATATATTATTTTTCTCAGCAAATATTTCTTAGGTGCTACCATGTATTGTGTGATTTCTGGAAAAATAAGCTGGCATCCCTGCTCCCATTGAAGTGTTTTATTTAAAGAATAATAGTTATAAATAATTATCATTATAATTTTCTTTTGTGTTATGACTATATTCATTCTCATTTTACAAGTGAAATATGTTTTAATGATGCAAAATCTTTCACCATTTCATTGGAATGGGGAAATTTATATTTGGAATTTTGAGACAGTAAATTTTTTTTTAATTGAAATGATTGTACTTGTATGCAATACATGATCCTCAAATCAGGATAACTACTATATTTAATCATTAACCAATATAGTCATTTTTGTGGCCCTTTACCAATTTCTCACTAACCACCTTCCCCCTCCGCCTTTCCCACTTTTGGTGGCTCAGTTCCGTTCTCTCCTTTTGAAAGTTCAGTGAATTACTGTGATTGTTGTATCTTTCTTTTTTTATTTGTTTATTTTATTTTTTTACCTCCCACTTATGAGTGAGGCCATGCAGTATTTCTCTTTCTGTGCCTGGCTTATTTCACTTAACATAATTTTTTCTTAGTTCATCCATATTGCTACAAAAGGCAGAATTTCATTCCTTTTTATGGCAGAGCAGTATTCCACTGTGTATATATACCACATTTTCCAGTTGTCGGTCGATGGACATGTAGGTTGGTTCCAACTCTTAGGTATTATGTATATAGCTAAATAAACATGCAGGTGATACACTAAATTAAAGATGATAGATTAGATAGATAATGTGTTTGACTGTAATCAAGCTATATCTCAAAAATTAGTTCAGAGTCAATTTTTATGGGGAATAAAGATGGTAGCACAGAAAATTGTATTTATATAAATAGGTATAATATGTACAATAAATGTATATATATAAAACTTTGATGTATACAAATGATAAACTTGAATTTCATTTCTGACAGGTTTGGCTGTGGCAATAGTATTCATATAAAATGCATGAAGATCTTAGCAAGTTATCAGGACATATCAAACACTTCCATGTTGAAATGCCCTCTGTGCAGGAAAGAGTTTGCACCATTAAAACTTATTTTAGAGGAATTCAAAAACTCTAACCAACTTGTGACTGCAGCAGAGAAGGAACGACTGGACAAACATCTTGGAATTCCCTGTAATAACTGTAAACAATTTCCAATTGAGGGGAAATGTTATAAGTAAGTTTCACCTGTCAAATCATAAGCTTTTATTTTTTTTAACTTTAGGGAATTTTGAATGAACATTAGAACACCTATCCTTTAGCCTGCCTTTTTCCTCCCACATATGCTATGTTTGCATTAGGTACTGGCTGATTACTTATGATTTCACGATTGGTGATCTATCTCAGTCTAATATGTCAAGAACTCCCATCATTTTAGTTTATTCACTTTTGCAATGGTATTGGTTTTGCACTCTGGTCTAGGTTGAGTCTGAAGTAGCATCCCCTCCTAGAAGCTCTGAACATAGGCTTTGTTTCTTTGGCCTAGATGAGTTTCCAAGCTCTGATCCCTGCTGTATCTCTCACCCCCTGTAACTTTCTTTGAAAGTTTTCATTGCCAAAAACTCCTAAAATTGAGCCAGAAAGATATTGAATAGATTGACTGAATATTTAATCACTTTGCTCCTACTCAAAATTGCTATGAGTTTGCGTTTTTTCTTTCATATCTTATACCTCAACAATAACAACAAAAACAAGAGAATTATTGAAGCAAACCATTTTTACTACTTTTGTGAGTAACCCCTAAACTTTCCCACAATTGCCACGATAACATATCAATTAATTGCTATGCCTGGGAAATTGTGTTTTCTTAATTAAAATTTTTAATGAACGGTACATTAAGAAGAAACTATTTTGTTTCAAGCTTTGTTAAAAATTTTTCTGAAATCCTTCAGTTCACTTTTCAGTCTTCCGTAATCACATTATGATGAGCCCAGTTTAAGGTATATATGTATTTAAAATTCTCTGGTGTTCATCCAGTTTCAGAAATTTTGGTTAAAGAGGGTTCTAGGAAAAAGAAGGACTTGATCTTCAGTATTAGCAGCCATTGTCTGGCCAATTTAAATTTTCTTAAGAGGGGTGGATAGGTAACATGTGAAAGTGGGGGCTGGGACAAACAGCTGTGGGGGACAAGGACATGTGAGGGCCACAGTGTAAAATTCTCAGTCCTTATAGTTATGTATTCCTCAAATGGTTAATGTGTGGCTTCGGTAGATTATCTCAAAGACGACCAAATCTTGCTTTTAATTATTTGTTGATGACAGTGCACTTCTCTGTCACTCTGCGCTTTCTGACTGCTCTTTCTGTCTTGGTGGATTATTCTTCCTACGGCACCTAAATGAACTCATCCTGCACTGTTCCACATTCTGTCCACTTCTCTACATGCTCCTTTGAGAATATCTTCTCTTCTCATAACTTCCCCTCTGTGGACTTGGCTAATGATTATTTATCTCTGTCTCAATCTTTTTTACAAACTAAATACCTCACTTCCAGCATTTGTGACTCCATCCTCCTTCCATTCCCTCAAGTACTGACATTTCAGTCAGCATGAAAAACTATTTCCAATGGTTTTAGGAATAGAGGAGACAAGATAAATTAAAAAGCTTTCCAGTTCCTTTTTTATTAGAGTCTCACAATATAGCTACTTTGTCTTTTAATAGGTTAATTCTAAAAATATCAGCGATATATCAATATATGTTAAAATACAGAGATGCTAACTTTTTCTAGCCCCAAATACTTTGACGTACCTAATAAATTGCACCATTGCTCTGACTCATTGATGTTAATTATTTGGAATCTTCCCTGTATGTATAAATAGTAATTTATAAGTCCTTAAATTTCTCATGGCAGTAGTCTTCTAAATCTTTGGTAACTTGAATAAGAAACTAAGTTTATTTTACTACTGGTCAGCATATTGTTTGGTGAATTTTGCAGCAAGTAAATTAAAATCCTCTGCTTGTGGCAAAATATTTATAAATGATATAAGCTTGAGATTGGGCTTTTGTGGAAAATAAAGTGTTTTTTGTAGATTTATCAATAGTTTTTATGGAGACTTATACATTTACCTTTTTTCATTCTTTGGGGATAAAAGGGACATAATGTAATTCCTGTATTCAAGAAGTATGCTGCTAATTGTAACTCTAGCACTCATGAAACAATTGGGAAGCAACACTCTATAGTCAAATAGCAGAATATCTAATAGGCTGTAGATCCTATAGGAATTTAGAGAAAACAATCAATGAAAGCTACAGTAATCTGGGAAGGCATCATAGAAGAGGAGGAAGGGAAGGTAAGAAAAATAATGGCTTCCCAGATACGACCATATCCTTATGCCCAGAACCTGTATGATGTCAGGTTACATGTCATAGAGGAATTAAGGTTGCAGATGGAATTAAGGTTTCTAGTCAGCTGACCTTGAAATAAGAACGTTATTCTGGATTGCCTGGAAAAGCCCAGTGTAATCACAAGCGTTCTTAAAAGTAGAAAAGAGAGGCAAGAGAGTCAGATGGAAATGTTACTGAAAAAGAAAGTCAGAGAGGTGCTATGCTGCTTGCTTTGAAGATGGAGGAAAGAGCCACAATCTAGGAAATGGAGGCTGCTCTAGAAGATGGAAAGGGTGGAGAAATGGACTCTCCCCAGAGCCTCCAAAAACTAATGCATCTCTGCCAATCCCTTGATTTTAGCTCATTGAGACCTGTGCCAGACTCCTACCCTACAGAACTGTAAAATAATAAACTCGTGTTGTTTAAGCTAAGCTTGTAGTTTTTTTACAGCAGCAATAGGAAACTAATACATAGAGTGACTTGAGATGGGCCTTGTCATGTCTGAATAGTTCCCAGGAAATTTTGGTCAGAATTGTTCACCTGAAATCATCACAATAATTGGATTTTTTTTTTCTTGCATGTTTTGGTATTTTACATTTTTAGGTGTACCGAATGTATAGAATATCACTTATGCCAGGAATGTTTTGATAGCTGCTGCCATCTTTCTCACACATTTACATTTCGTGAGGTACAGTATCCATCTTGAATCTAATATAGTGTTTGTACTTATCCTGTTGAGAAGCTCAGTAGATCTAAGAATAAGAAAAACAGATAACACTCTGGAATAGACTTGGTTGGTTGTTTAAAAAAACCTAAAACCATATTTTTAGGAGACACTTTTCCATGGGGATGCACAAGGCAACCAGTTCCTATTCTGGTAATTTATAAAATCCAACACAATAACAAACATCTGATGACATTATTAATAAATCTTAAGAACAGGAGTTGTAGCCATCAAACTTGAAAATTAGTTTTAAAAATCTCTGCATTACAAATTGGCTTGTCATAATATAAGTGACAACCATTTATGGTTTTCTTTTAAAGTTTCTTACATCGACAATAATGAAACATGGAATTTTATTGAGATCATTTGAACTGT